GGAGCCGGCGGCGGGGCGGAGAGGGACCGAGACCGCGCCCGGCGCCCCGGCGGCCCGCGCCCACGAGCACCTACCTTAGACACCCTTTCCTGCGGCGCAAGCAGGAGCGGGACTCCTGCAACGCCAGGATGTTCCAGCCCTCGGTGCGACCTCTCTGTGCCCAGAGTCCCGATCCCTGGCCGTGCGGAATTAAACCTGCGGACTGCCTGGAGTCAAAGTTTGACTTTCTCTCCTGCGCATCCAGATACGCGGCCGCAGCCCCTGCACATCCTGGGGGCTGCGGGACCCTCTGAAGGCTGAGCGTCCCGCGGCGTTGCCCCGCGCTGCCTCGCTCCGGCTCTCTCCGTCCCGCTCCCTCTTCCTCTCTCTTTTCCCGTCGTTTAATTTGATTTCCGTTTTCTTATCAATATTTCAACTGCTGTGTGATGAATTGTTTTATGGACAGCCACTCATCTGCTCCCAGCTGCTTTTCCAGAAACCTCCCTGTGTTACTAGGAAATGTCAAGGAACGCTGGAAACCACACACACATCATAAATGTAAAGCTTGCTCTGCTGAGCCCCCGGGAGGAGACCCAGGCCTGCCTTAAGCTGGTTATTTAGTTTCAAATGATGACTATGCAAATGATTATTCCTCTTACCCAAACAATAGGAGTGAAGGCTTTGCTTTTTCAGGCCTTTAAGTTTTTCCTACTCGAAGGTCACTCCTTCCCTTTTTTGGGCCCTCCCTCGGGGTTCACCGCCTCTGCCCCACATTTTACAGGCAGCGTCTTAGAGAAACGAGCTACTAAGAGGGTTTAATTTTTTAAAAAATGTTTTAAAAACACTCTTGTTAAGGAGCCATTTCTGGGTCCCCAAATTTGTGTTTTCTTGAAATTTGGAATGTTGCTGATTTCTTCGCGTCCACTTGCAGACTGGCCTTGAGTGGGCTCAGGTTTCTGCGTCCAAGCTCACGTGCACTCTTTCGGTTGCCCAAACCCAGGGCCAGTCCTCACAAAGCAGAAGGGGGCCCTGGCGGCTTTCACACCCTTGCACATGCCTCTCCTGAGTTTCCCGAACCTGGAAACCGCCCGCCAGGCCCCTCCTCAGAACAAACGGAGGAACCTGGACGCGGGGAGGGGAGAGCGCAGCACACAGGTGAGAGCAGAGGCGGGAGTGTGTCAATTCCTAGGAACAACGCTGATGGCTTTGCGCGCCTCTGAGAACTGGACTCAGTTTCTCAAGCTTCGCCCTCCTCTTTCTTTTCTGGGTACCTAGATCACTCACTGCTTTGGTTCTGGACACTGAGAAAATTTGTTTAGTGCCTGCTCCCTCTTCTCAGTGCCGCCCCTCCTCCACCCCAACTGTCTCTGGAGATTTCGGACCAAAAGGCAATTGCTAGAATTCCATTTCTGGAGAAAGCACACTCATCACCCAGATCTCCCCACGTGGGGGGTATGAGGACTGGCAGCAGGGTTATTCATTATTTCCTTCGCAACAATATCCCGATTTTTCTCTGCGGCCCTCCCCCAAAGCTCAACATATTGAAACATTTTGCTGCTTAATAAGAGCAGCCCGGAGAGCTATGAGGTGAAAGGCCAGCCTGGGACCGTGACTGGGGCTGCCGAGGCTGGGCGCTGATGGCCAGGCTGCCCCCGCCCAGCACATTCCTGACCATTGCTTAGGAAAACAAGACCGCGCTTGGGGAGGGGAAGAGGCTGAAGTACAAGAGCCATCGCCTCTGTATTTTTATTCTTGGAGAGATCATCTTCCTTCCCAAGGGGACAAACACACTATTCCAAACAACCGCAAATAAAACAGAAGGTGCTTCTACGTCCCATAATGCATCCTCCTAGGATGTCCTGCATTTTAAACAGGTTCTTTTTAGGAAAGTTGGAGATTTGAAAATGAGGGCTTCGACTATACTAGAGGAGATAAGAAGTAAACAATTGTCTAAGTAATAATTTACCATCCAGATTAAGTTTTTCTATCCTTGGTTCTTCCTTTATATATTTTTCCCTTCTTTTCTCCCTCCTTCCTTTCTTCTCTCCATCTCTCCTTCCTTCCTTCCTTCCTTCCTTCCTTTCTTCTCTCCATCTCTCCTTCCTTCCTTCCTTCCTTCCTTCCTTCCTTCCTTCCTTCCTTCCTTCCTTCCTTCCTTCCTTCTTTCTTCCTTTTTTTTTGAAGGGGATTTCTACGAGATCACTTGAGTAACTTCCCACAGATTTTAAACTCTTCCTTCTTTATGTCTTCACAGTTGGCCTTACATCCTTACTTGCAGACATATCCAAGTTTTCTCTCTCTTCATTAGATTGTGAGCTCCCTGAAGGCAGAAGCTGGGTTTGTTTTGTTTGTGACTGGACACCCAGTGTCCACACAGAAACTGACAGGCAGAGAAGTGGAACAATTATTTAGCTACAATCCTTTTAAAAAAAAATTACTGAAGGGAATACAGGATAAACAAAACCAAATTAAGGAAAAACTGACAGGAAAATTTCACCTGACTGATACAGATTCATTTTCTGTCTTTCAGAGTCACATAACATCAGTGCTCATGTGTGAGCTTCATTTTTACCCAAAGGAATTAACCAGGGAGCCTGAAACCACCCACCCCCTCCCACCCAAGCGCCCTGGGTGTGGTCAGATGGGGAAGGTGTTCAGTCTTTAAGTTCACTACCAAAACTCTTCATGCATGTTTGCATATATGTGTCCTATTTCCTCCTCTTCCTATAATTTCAAGCATCACCATGAGTACTCATTCCAAGGGTCATGCAAATAATAAAATCTTGGTGGTCCTGGGAAAACAAATGAGCTGAGAATGGAGTGAGGAATAATGTGGAGCCCCTTTCAGCTAGAGTTTCAGAGCTGGACATAGACCCGGGAGCCTGCCTTTTTTGTGCATGTGTGGGAGGCAGGGAAGGTGGTGGATGTCCGCTGGGAAGTGTCTATAGCCCTAACCACCCAGCCTGGAAGCAGGGGTAGGGTAGAAGTAGGACCTCATCTTTCTCATTCTCTAGGAGGCTACAACCAACCCTCTTTGTCACCTGAAGCCTTCAATTTGCCAGAAGAAAATTGCTGAAATTGGTAACAGCTGCCATAAGGAGCAGCCTAAAAGAGGAGGATGGGAGGAAAGGGGCAGGAAAACTCATTAAAGCCAGCTTATCCCTCCAACTGTTTCCAAAGGGAGACAGAGCAAGGGCTTTCTTGCTCCATAGCTAGTGCTCCCGCACCATCCTGCACCAGGCTGTTTCCTTGTGCCATAGATATACAACCCAGAGATTAGCAAGCGACCCCCCTGTGGCATTTAGGCGAACAGGGGGATGGCATCCAAGAGAGGATCTCATTAAGGAAGCAAGGGGGAGATATCTGGGTGGTGCTGCTCTGGGCTGTTGAGGGGCTCTTTGATTCTAAGCAAGACAGTTAAGACTCAGCTTCCTTATCTGGCAAATAAGAGGGCTGAAATTAAGTCGCCATGAGATACCTTCATTTAGAGCATGCCATAACTCTGGGAGATGACTTAACCGGGGAAAGGATGTGGATCAGTGGCAAGTCAATGGTCCACAGTTAGAAATTTTGGGTTCCGGTCTTGGTTCTGCTCCTGACGACTGGTTATAGGCTGAATTGGGTCCCCCTAAAGTTCATATCTCAAAGCCCTTCCCCCAGTACTTTAGCATGTGACTATATTTCGAGATAAGGTCCTTAAAAAGATACATAAAATGCATGGGCCCTGATGCATTGTGACTGGTGTCTTTAGAAGAGGAGGGGGTTTGGACACAGAGACGTGGCAGCACAAAAGAAAGACCATGAGAGCACACAGTGAGAAACTGGCCAACCACAAGCCAAGGGGAGAGGCCTCAGGAGAAACCCGCCCTGCTGACCCTTTGACCTTGGACTTGCGGCATGCAGGACTGTGAGGGATACATTTCTGTTGTTTAAACCACTCCATAGTTGGTATTTTATTATGGCAGCCCCAACAAGCGAATATACCTGAGAGAAAATATTTTAAATATGATTTTGTTTCTCCAAGGAAGTAAACGGGAATGGACAATGTTGACCCACTTTACTCAACTCTTCTAGAACCTGCCATGAGGATGAATATGTATCGTCGATTCGCAATGTTTTTGGCCAAGTGTGGCCTGTGTGTAAATCAGCATTCCTGTCTTTGGAGTGCTTTTCACCCCAAATGAAGTCCGAAGCCACATTTCGGTCCCTCTGGTTTCCCTATTCTTTATGCCGTTAATGATGGGAAAGGAAGGAAGTTGCTTCCTGCTCTTCCAACAAGTAATTTCAGATTTTAAAGGGTAGCCAACAAAATGTCACATTCCTAATCTCCCCTTATTTGTGTGGTCATGTAGCCCATGACAGGCTGCAAACCTAGACTGAGCTCCTGGAAATTACAAAGAAGGCGTAGTGGGAAGTCTGCTCCGGGAGATAAGTGCAGGAGATAGGGGTAGTGAGGAGAACAGGGTCCGTGAGGAAGAAGAGCCGTCAGGCTGGGCTCTTGAGATTCCAACCTGTGTGTGACCTGGTTAGTCCTTTGATTCCCATCACATAACACACACTCATTCACACATATCCTCAGTGTAAAGGGGCTCTTAGGGTGGGTAGCACAACGTGCAAAATTGGGAGCATTCTGGGTGAGACCAAAACTACAGGGGCAAGAGATTTGCAAACTAAACATGAGCAAGAGAAAAGGCCTCCCCCAAACTAACAGATTCAATTCATCCCTTGCCCCGTCCATAAATAAAAATATGTAAAATTCCCCAGGATTGGGGAGGAAGAGGTAAGGTTATTGGAGAATGAATGAGACTATGCATTAAAGCAAAGAGGTGCTGTCAAGACCAAAGATTTTAACATATTTTATATTCATTCTTCCAATTCCCTTAGCAAGTATTTTTTAGGTGAAAAGACATTATTATTTTAATATATAACATATTTGCAAATATACCTGATTGCATTTTCTCAAATGGCAAATGAGACTCAGAATAACATTTCTCTTTGATCACTGAAAATCTCATTATCATTTATGTGTCTTTGGGAGAATTCAGTTTCCTGGGACATCTTTGATACTGTTCACGAGGATACCAACAATGCTTAGCACTGAAGAGCATTTTGCTAATTTGTTCCATTATGGGTACTTGCTCAAAGCGTTCATTTTTTCCTTCTAATCTGGTTTTCAGCACTTGATCCTGTGTTTCTTCATGCTTATGCACAGGATCTGGCTGAGGGCTAGATTTTGTGTGTTCGTATGGAATGCTCACAGAAGGATGGCAGCAAACTATCATCCTGCCTTCAGATGTCAAAGCTTTGCAATTACAGTCATCTGGAAGAGAAAAATACATGGATTTATGACAAATACAATACAAAGCTCCATTTTGAATTGGAAATAAATGCTTCAAGAGAGCTCTGTTTGATAACACCAGCTTCACTGCTGCTACCACCATAGTGAATCAAGATGTTTATCAGGTGGTATGGAAAAGATGATTTGAAGAGAAAAATGCTTTTCAAATTTGCTTCTAAGCATACCTATTTTCATCTTGCTATTTTGACTTCTCATTGTATCTCTTTGTGAATGTCTGTGAATTAATTGTATTCTATTAGATAATCTCTGAGGCTTATTCTAGCTTAAATTTTCATAATTCAAAAAAAAAATTACTATTCTCATCTATAGTTTGTTTCCTGATTAGCAGGAGATATTCCATCTCTGTTTCTGTTTAAAATATTACAGTTACTCCCTAATAATACCAGTATGATTCCAGATAAGGTGATGCTTTTATGATCAAATGGAATCATTCATTCATTCAGTCAGTCAGTCAGTCATTCTTTTGCTGTAGTTTGGGCGCAGATCATAGAAAGAACTTGCGTAATATCTGAGGTTTGCAAAGACTGTCTTACCTTTACTCTATCAATCGAGGCTTAGTCAGCCCTAAAAAGGAGAAAAGAGAACAGATTTAAAAGAAAGCATCAGGTTCGGGGCCTCTTGTAGAAAAGTTATTAACACAATCAGAAGGGCAATGAATCAATGACTTTAAAGTATTCAAACATTACTGCGTAGAGAGGGACAACTGGTCCATCCATTGCAACTTTGAAGTGCAAGATGATTAAAAACAAACAAACAAACAAACCCAAAAACCTTTCAGACGCTATTGTGAAAAATGCCACAGAAATTGAAGTGTGCTCACTCTGGTTCCTGAGGATAATAGAAGACAGTGTGGTCTGAAGCATAGACATTGTATTCTTTGCCCCCTTCCTCCCTTCATGACCCCAATTTTTAAGAAGAAAAAAGAAAAAACCCAGATAAAAGTCAAGCTGGGCCAATGTCAGGTACAGCTGACTTGAAGGTCTTTTGGGCATATTTTTTAATGGAGGTGGGAGGAGCAGGGTGAGGTGGGGGAGATGGTTGAGTGCGTGGAGGGTCGCATGATATCCCTCACACAAATGCCTGAGAGTAGCCTTTCAGGAACTGAAATGCTTCCTGCCAAGTGCTTCCGTCGTCTAGAGGGAAAAGAAGCTACGGAAATACTTGCCTGATCAAATAGTGGCCTGTTGTATTATTATTATTTTGTGACCTTCAGCTTTGACCAATGGGACAGTGAGGTCCCAAAAAGAGAATTGTCACTCAGTGTTACTTTAGTGCACTTCACAGCCGCACACAAAACAATGTAACCCATTTAACATAACAAACATGGGGACACACTGTCTCTGAGGTCCTCTGAGGCAACCCGGCTTCCCTAGATAAGAGATCAAAAGTGGAGGGTATGTTTTTATTTTCCTGGTGTATATTTTTAAAAGAGACTATGTGAAGTAAGATGTCTCCCAGATATTTGGCTGTGGAAAAGGGAGGCATAGAGTTATTTCAACTCCTATTTTCTCAAAACTTCAGACTTGTGAGGGACACGTAGACGAGTGTAGTGTTTGACTCTGAAATTCTCATTGCTTCAAAATGATTGATAATGTGAAGATGGAGGGACGAGGACATTATATTTCACTCTCCATGCAGCCTGCATGCTGCCTCTTTGGGTGATGATTTTGGTTCTATTTTATAAAAATTGAGTAGAAGAGAAGGGGTGGAATGGAGTGGACCTCAAAGATACAGAGTTCTCCTTAACGCCTCAGCTGAGTACTGCGGAGCCGAGTGGGTACCGTGACTTCAGCAGCTTGCTTGGGAACCAGGGACCCCAGACTTTTTTTTATTGCATCCCCAGGGGATGCCAATGTGCAGCCAAGGGGGAGAGTGGTATTCTCTTAATTTGTGTAGGAATTCCCCAAGCAGGCTATGTCCTTTGTGGTGAAAACTCAGCAAGTAATTTGGAGCAGTTTCCTTGCCACGCCTGGTCAGGGTTGATGGTTCTGTTTTTCAGTTGGGGAGTCCCTTCGATGTGGAAGCAAACTGAAGTTTGGCCTGCCTCTCTAGAAGACAGACCAGTGGTGGCTGCAAGGCCCAGGCCCCGGGGGATGATAAGCACTTGCAATCTTGAGTGCTTATCTCCTCCTCTATCTGGCCTTCTTGCCTGTATAAAGTAAATCGGGAAATCTCACCACAGCAGGCTTTCCTGTGAGGAGGCTGGCATTTCCTGCCTGCCCCACTGGGGACAGGAATGGTGGGACACCCTGCGTGGGCCTTGTCATTTCAGCTCCTGCACAAGCACCGGGGCAGGGAAAGCGGGTGCGTCCCAGGTCAGCGATGGTGTGAGAGCGAAGGACGGAGGTATTGGCCAGACGCGGTTTCCACGCACAGCTTTCTTACACATAAAATAAATACAATCCACAGCTACTTCTTTGAATACATGTGCACATGTGTGTCTGCACATTGCGTGGGTACTCAGCAGACATTAATTGGTAAAACTAATATGCTTCTGACAAGTTGGTATTAAATTGATTATATTAGAGTTAGGTCACAATTTAATGTACTTGTACACATTGTAAGTACCGTGGTTTAGGATTTTTAAAATTTTGTAAGTAGATAATGCTTTCTTAGAGAGAATTGCCTCTCCCCTCCTCTCACACTTATCTTTAGGGCAAATTTTGTCCCGATTTTAATACATGTGCTATTGAAAAGGTTATCCATGCTAATAAAAGATTTAACATATTACTTCTATCAAAGGAAGATATGGGTGTATGTACAAAACTTGATCTTGTTCTATTACTTTATTTATATGATATACTTTATGTAGAACTTAGGATCATGTGAGAAATTCATGCTCAGTTTTTACACGAAGAAACAGAATCTGAAACAGAAATTACCTCTTTTTTTTCATGGTAAATTTTAAATATATTATTCCATTAAGTACATGATTATTGTTATTGCCATCTTTTACTTGGTAAAATGGAGTCATACATAAGAAACCTGAGTCTCTTAGAGTCATCTTTTATAGATGATCTAAGTAATGTGTTTTAGACATTATCGGAGTAATTATGTAAATAACTTGTCAAACTTTGCCAGGCGAGCCACAGGGCCTGGCTAGAACCCAGGCCTTTTAACTCCTCCTCTCCTAGTTCCTTGAGTTTCTATCAACACATCCCATGAAACAGGTTCAGTTTCCACCTCTTTCAGGTGGTGGTGGGCTTGCTCACTAAGAAGGCCAATTCACTGATTTCGTCATTCCCATCTTCCTTTCCATGTTTCAAACATTCCATATGGCCTTCGATTTTCCTTCCTTTCCTCCTGGGGAGGACGGGTTGCAAAGAGAGTAGAGGTAGTTCACGCATACGGTTTGCCCAGCTTCCCCTAAGGTTACCGTATTCTATAACCATGGTGCGATTATCAAAACTCAGCATTAGTGCAGTACTATTAACTAAACACGGGCTATTTGGATCTCATAGGTTTTCCTGCAATGTCCTTATTTGGTCCCAGGGCCCAGTTCAGGATGCCACATTGCATTCAACTGCCAGGTCTACCCCATAGGCAGTAGTTCCTCAGTCTTTCTTTCTGTGTCACGACCTTGGCATTTTTGACGAGCACTGGTGAAGTATTATGTAGAATGTCTCTCCATTTGGGTTTGTTTGAAGTTTTCTCAAGATTAGATTGAGGCTTTGTAGTTTGGGGACGAATACCACAGGGGTAATATGTCTTTTGCAACACATCTCTCCAGAGGGTCCATGACATCGATATGTCTTATTACTGCTGGTAACGTTGATCTTCTGTACTTGGTCGAAGTAGCGCTGGCCATGTGTTGGCCAAGCGTTGACCAAGGCACCACACTGTGAAATTACTGTTTTTCCCCTTTGCAATGGACAAGAATTTGAGGAGAGACACTTTGCTATTAACAAATATTTTGGGGGGAAATACTTTGAGGCTATGCAAATATCCAGCTTCTCCTTACTCTTTCGTTCACTGATTTTAGCACTCACAGGTGGAGTTCCCCTTGAGCAATAATTGTTCTGGTGCTTAAATGGTGACTTCACTCATTCCTTCTACATTTAAGTTGAGATTACCTTGTAAGAAAGAGTCTTCCCTTCTCCCTTTCCCCTTTTCCTGCCCATCACCTTTTTCCCTCTTTTTTTTAAAAAAATATTTTATTTATTTATTTGGAAGGGAGGGAGAAAGAGAGGGAGAGAAACATCGATGTGTGGTTGCCTCTCACAGGGCCCCAACTGGAGACTCAGCCTGCAACCCAGGAACATGCCCTGAGGCGAATCGAACCAGAGGCCCTTCGGTTTGCAGGCTGGCTCTCAATCCACTGAGCCACACCAGCCAGGGCTCTTGGAAAGAGAAAGAGTTTCTCTCTCTCTCTCTCCCCCCCCCTCTCTCTCTCTCTCTCTCTCTCCCCCCCCTCCTCTGTCCTTCATCAGTATCAACTCATGGATATTTATTTTATTCTTTAGATTGTAATTCATTACTTCAATTTATTTTTTGCTCAGATTGTTTCACTTGGGCCACTGAAAGCTTTTCCAAGTTGACTTCTGAATCTTTTGGACATGCCCTATCTCTTTTGATTTATTCCCTTTAGCAACCCCTTCCTTTCTTGCACTATGCAGAGTTCCTGGATTATCTTGTGTTTTCCCTGCCCAGCCCTAGATTCAGCTGTTTCTCCAAGGATCTGTGCTTCCTTATACTGGAGAATGGCATTTAGAAGCCAAGAATTAAGAATTAGTTTTTCTCCCTGCTACTAGCTGTTACTATTTCTAGGCCCTCTCAGCAAACAGAACAAGAAAGCATATACATGTATAACAGCCTAAGTTTATACATATAGCTATAAATCTTTCTGTATCTCTCCATCTGCATTTTAGCCTGCTAGGGCTACTATGATGAAATACCACAGACAGGGTGGTTTAAATAACCGAATTTCATTTCTCACACTGCTGGAGGCTGGACACACAGGATCAAGGTATTGATTGGGTTGGTTCCTTTTAAGGCCTCTCTCCTTGGCTTCTTGATGGCTGTCTTCTTGCTGTGTCCTCACGTGGCCTTTATTCTGTGTGTGTACATCCCTGGTATCACTCT